CCCTCCCACAAACACACACACACACACACACACACACACACACACACACACACACACACACACACACCAGTTTGCATTTTTATTCATACAATGAAATGTCAAAGTTTTAAAAATATAGACTCTAAGGAATTGAAATTATTGTACAGCAAGCACCTTACTCACTGAGTCATCACCCCTGCCTGACCCCACTGTTACTACCATTTATCCCCAAATATTTACTATAATTTGCCTTTTAGTCCTATATAACAAAATATAAACTCCAAACTGTGGATAATATGGCATATTAATAAAAGACAGTAAAGTACATTAGCTTATTCTTTCTGTCCTAACCATGCTGTTGGGTCTGATGAAATACCTTCTTTAAGCTAGTCAGGTTATTAAGAATTACTATTAACCAATGTCTGTTTGTTATGTTTATTGGTCTGATTGTTGGGAAAAGCCAAGATGGCAGACTCTGTCCAGGGAACACTTAAACCAGGTGTTGATTCCTTCACAGAAGGTACAGAATGGGTTTAGCTCTTAAAGGATGAGTCAGAGTTTATCAGTTAAGGGGGACTGAGAAGAACTTTCGAGAGCAAGACAACACCATGTGGAAAGTTGTATTGGTCTCGTTCACTAGTCCCAAGGGACACTAGGTTGCCCATCAGGGTCTCATGTTTCGGGAGGACAGAGTAAGATTGGCAGTGGCTTGATGAGAAGACCCTTTCCAGAGACAGTGGGGGGTTAGAAACAATCCTGCATGGGCAGCCAGCAGCCTCTGAAGGAGCTACAGCTGGAAAGTGCTCTGGTGTGATCACTTTGATGGCTGTCTTGGGAAGGAGTTGGAGAATTGAGTCAGGGGACATGTTGAGTAACGTTTCAAGAGCTGGCTAACCCCTTCTGCTCCTTGGATTACTAACTAGCAGCCCTTAAGATGAGCTGTGCTTCTGAGAGGCAGGTCTTTGAGCCGACCTCCCAGTGATCCTTTGAGTACATGGAGTGGGTGCGTGGAGGGAAGGCATGCAGTCCTTATCCTGCTCATCTTTTTAAAGAATTATGCGGGGCTACATTGTAGACAGAAGTCCTTGAGCATCCTTTCCCTGAGTGCTGGCCAGCCAGCACCTTACAGATGAGAAATGAGGATGACACTCTTCTTGGCAGGGAGAGGGCAGGGGAGACCCTCATGCTGCATGCCATTCTCACACATGGCCTCTCCCGATAAGTGCCATAAGCCATCCGAACCCCCCTGCTGCCTTTTCTCTCCTGCCTGGCTTACCTCCAAGCAGTTAAACACTGGGGCATTGTGGGTCTTTTCCTTTTTCCTCTCATTTACTTGGAGAGGAGTATTTGCTTTGAGAGGGTTACAAAATCATTACAACATTGCAGGAAGAAAGAAAATCTCATGCTTTTGTCTTGGAAAAAATGGCTTACTTCAATTGAAGTTTTCCCTTTTTGTCCTCCCTACCCCCAAGTCTTACAAGTTCTTTATTTGTATTTATTGTCACAATTACTTGTAGAAAAGATAGAATATCTTGTCCTCATCAACAGTAGTACATTTCTTCCTCTCCTTCCCTTTTCATCCTCTCTTTATCACTTGCAATTGGTTGTTTCTGAGGTATTATTACTATAACTACCTCAAGGAAATTGGTTTAAAAAAACACAATTTCACACAACAGAATTACTACATTTTTAAAAAATATTTCTCTGTATCAGTGCAGTATTTGTTATTCGTCCCTAGTTATTGTAGAAATACTCATGAAAAGCATTTTCCTCCATAGCTGCATATTTCCCTTCATATCAGCCACTGTTTCTTTGAATGGGCTTGCCTGCTCTTTCATCAGAGAAACACATCACCCATTTCCCTGTCTTAAAAAACAGCAATTATGTGGAAATACCTCCTGATTTATTCGAGCCAGGGCCACTGGCCAGTGTGAGTCGGTACAATTTATTGCCAACTGTCACTTTTACATGATAGGTCTGTAACAAATACCTGCCGCATATTGTTAAATTAATCTTCCATTTAAAATTAATGG